TCTATCTCAGAACTGCTTCCGGAAATGTATAAGCAATGGTGAGATTTCGTGTGTGCCTGGCACGAGGAACATCTGTGTGTATCTGTAAAGGGAGTAAGTCAATAAATTTTTGAGAATGTCAGGGGAATACATGCACTGGAAATAGACGCACTAGAAAAGGAGGAGACCAGATAACCACTAAAGTGTCTTTCAAGTATTTTCATTATCTCCACATAAATCCCATCTGGTAGTTCTGCAGTTCATCTTTCAAAGATAGCCTTTACTTTTCTCTTACTTTTGACTCCTTCCTTTTTACATAGAGATACACTTTAAAAATTCTCAACTGATTCCTTCAAGTTAGAAAACTTGAAACATGTTTTCAGTTTGAGATTACAGAAGTAGCTTGTCCCATATTCTCATCAACTTAAGTGACAATGTTCTCTACTGGACTTAAAGACAGTAGGAAAAAATATTTAAAGAAAGGTGCATAAATATAAAAATTGTTATGGCAACCCTACTGTCACAAAACTAAGTCTTTAAATAAATAACCAGAGGTCTAAAAGATAGTACAGTGGACATGGTGTCACCTTGCACATGGACAACCCAAACTCAATCCCAGGCGCCCCATATGGTTGAGCCCTGCCAGGAGTGAACCTTGAGCAGAATCAAGAGAAAGCCTAGAGCACCGCTGGAAATGACCCCAAAACAAAAAACAAAACAAAAGAATCAAAACAAAAAAAGAAAAAAAAACAGCCACCATATCAACAAAACCTCTTATTCTGGACAATTACTGACTGTGCTCTAGCCTTACCTTTGTCATCATAGTAAATGGAGATATCTCCTGTTGATGTGTATACAATTTCATCTATGTCAGCAGCAAGGGCATTTTTATGATTGTCAGGTAGTGAGGTAACTTTTTCTTTCAATACTTGTAGCACCTAAGTTTCAAAAAAAAGAAAACCAAGAATTATTAAAAAACATGTTTTTAAAAAATTTTAGGCACCATGGTTTACAGTGCCACTATGACAGGGTTTCATTAATACAATGTTCCAATACTACACTTTCCACCAATGTCTTCCATCCCCAACACCCCACCTCACTCCTTCCATGTAGTTCACCTATTGTTTTTGTGGTGGAGGAGGAGCACTTACACAGCAATGCTTAGGGTTTAATCTGGCTCTGCATTCAGGGATCACTCCTAGCAGGGCTTAGGGTATGGTTGCAAAGACCAAACTCGGGTCAGAAGCATGGAAGGCAAACACCCTACCCACTGTACTATTACTCCAGCCCCCGCCTATTTTTCTTTAAAGCTTTCCCTTAAGCAGAGTAAAATACAAAACTGCATTTTAATTATTCAGCTAACTAATCCCTAACAGAATATTTAATATTAGGACAAATGAGACATATTTACTCATTTCAAGCCTTATATGGAAGTTCCTCCATGTCTTTATGTGCTACGCAGTGGTTCACAAGAAAGATACAAGGGCTCTACGTTGGCTAATTGCACACACACTCTTAGGCATAAATAAGGACAAAGTACACCCTTAATTGTAAGGGAATAACCTATGTATTTAAAGGAAAGTTAAAAGTTTACCTCTTTAGCCACGAGTTCTTCCAAGAGATCAAATTTGCACTGTGACAACAACTTGGACACATGAGCAAAAGCCTTAAAAAAAATAGTGGGGGGGAGGACGGTGATCATCATTTCAAAATGCTAATAAACTACAACACAACATATAATATTCTTACTTAAATGGCTAGGTGCAATAAAGACTATTTTATGATAAAGATGATCAGCAACATCAAACACTAACCTCTGGATGAGAAATTAAGTCGTCAAGGTTGATTGGATTTTCTTTCATTACATGGCTTTGCCTCATAGTAGGTCATAAGGCAGCAGAATGTTAATTGCACATCTACTCTCAGGATCTAGAGAAACAGTGTTCAAGGTACACCCTAGTTCTCAATAAAGATTCTCCCTTGTTTCATTTAAAATAGTAATAGGGGCTGGAGAGAGTTTACTGGGCTTTTGCTCCTGGCATAGCATGGTCCTCAAGTGCACCAAAAGCACCATCCTAACTATAGAATGATCCTCCTCTTATTAAGCAGAGATAGTAGCTGGGAAAGAAGCATAATCTATTCTAGACTATACTGGGAATCTGGAGATCTGGGTTGCAGTCTGGACTTCCTTGGGCAGCTGGGGATGACGAGAAGGGAGAGGACCACAGGAGTTTACATCAACCTTTATGTATGAGTCTATGTACATGAATGCATACATGCGTTAAGTGGGAAGGAATGCAAGAGGAGACCAAGTGCAATCTTTCACATTACTAACAGCGAGAAATAAAACTATGCATTAGACTACACCTTTCTTCAAGGAGCTTTTGTTTACTTGAGGGAAGCAAGTAAACCAACAAATTCAAGAATTATGAGAGTTAAGAACATGATGATTAAATCAAACAAAAGCATTTGAAAAGATGGAGGGGGGTGCCTAAGCTGGGACATGTAATGTGCAGCCCAGAACTCCATGTGGTCTGGCCCCAGTACAAAAAAGAGGACAGACGTGTAGGTTTCTTGACTGCTGCCTGCACCATATGGCCCCAACATGATGATATATATATAAATCCAATGGCCCTTAGCAGAAAAGATTCCCCAAATACAGGAATAAAATCTAAGATAAAATGTGAACTGATAGCAGGAGGAGGGTGCAGACAAGAAGGCATTATTACTATGGGCTGAATGGTCACCTTCCAATACCCAATCCATAAGTTGAAGCCTAATATCCTGACCCTCTATTTGATTTGGAAATACGGACTTTGAGGAGATGATAGAAGGAGGCTCTCAGGTTGGAGTTTAATCCCATGTCATTGCTTTTATAAAAAGAAAAATGTGGACACACATGTAGACACCAGGGAAATGCGTACCAAGAGAAAGACCATGACAACACAGCAAGAAGGCAACCACCTGCAAGTTAAGAAAAGCCTGAGAAGAGACCAAACCTATCAACACTGACCTGGACTTCCAGTCTCCAAACGGTGAGGAAATAAAGTTATATGGTTAAAGCAGCCCAGGTCTTTTGTTCTGATAGCCCCAACAAACCGGCTTAATAACAAGAGATGAGTTTTGAGAACATGCCCCTCTCCTAATATCCAAGTCCTCCTTAAAAACACTTTAAAGAGGCTCAGGATTAGAAATACAGACTATGGTGATATGCAGGCAGAAGAAGAACCACAACCATTATGTTAAAACCGAACCACAGCAGAGTGCCTTGGCACTTACTAGCAGGCAGAGTCAATTGTTCGGCTTGCTGGGACCTGGGTCTCATCTGTAATGGGGCATCAGACTCGAAAGATGAACCCTAGGGTGCCCTTTCATTTCCATGTTCTATGATTTCTTTAGAAAAGAAAAAATTTAATGAACATGACCATACTGATGTCTAAATGATATTTACATTCTAAAATGACATCTTGCTGAGATTGTAGAGAAAGGGAAAGTGGAACCGAATTAATTAAGTAGAAACACTAGCTGATATTTTTGTCCATTATTTCTAGGCTTGAGAATACCAACCGTGCAATGCAAAGAAAAGTAGCAGCAGCACGAGATCTAATAGGAAAGATTTTTTTTGGGCTATGTTCTTCTCTAAGACATCTGAAGGGTGTGGGGAGAGAAGCGCTAAGCAACAGAGCTCTGTTCGATTGCTTATAAGAAAATCTTTCCACGCTTAAGGATAATAACTGTACTTTGGAAACGTCATCTCATTTTCTCCTCAAGCAATCCTCATCACCGATTTATTTAAACCAACACTGATGCAATGCCTACTCAGGCAGGTATGGCATGACACTGCTGGAGTCATACCAAAGATGGAGAAAGAGCCACTGCACAAAAAGGCCTTTTACTGTCTCTCTGACCACTTCTTTTAACCAATACCTATCCAACTTCTTCCCTCTACTCCTCTCTGCAACCTGGGCCCCTCATCGGTGTAGCCCGAATTTCAATTCTCAGTTAAGTACATTAGTTTTTGGCTTGCTTGCTAGTCTTGCTGTTCTTGTGGATGTAGAGTGACAAAGTCTTCTTTATCGTGCAGAAAATCACTTTTAGAAATTATAAAGAAATAAATCTTTTTACTGCCAGAGTGCTCTGGAATCCGTTTCTATCGGACTCAAAATCCAGAGATCAGAAAAGGAAACTGGGAGACTACCCAGGCGTTTCCATGGAACCTCTCCTCCACGGTGACGGGGCAAAAGTGCCCAGAGCTTAAGTCTAAAAGTGACCGGATCGCTGGGTCTGGGGAACTCCCAAGCTTGGAAACTGGGTCCCAGGGAACAACCCTCGCCGCAAGACTCTTCTGCGTTGAGAACGGGGGACGCCAAGATCTATCTCTGGAACCAACCAACCTGCTTGGCTCCTTCGGAGAACTCTGCGATGCTGAACTCCTGGTCAAAATACGCCCAGATTAGGAAGGCGTAAATTCGAGTCCGAACCCAGTTGATGGGGTTGGAGAAGCCCAGAATGATCATCTTGGTTTTCTGGCGCTGCGGGGGCTGCTCCTCGGTGCTGTAGCTACGGCGGGGACAGGCAGGATGAGCCGGGAGGACAGCGGGCAGTCCAGCAGGGATGAGCAGGGGACGTCGGGGGCCCCGAGCGAGCCGCGCCGAGGCGGCCCAGGCACACGCGCCATGGGGAAACGAGACCGCTCCCGAGCTCAGGGGGCGGAGACAGAAGCAGCAGAGTCCAGCCACCGGCCGCCTCGCCTCGGCCGCCCTGAGGGTCCAGGGTCGGGCGGCCCCGCCGGGGAGCTGCGGGAACCGCAGCAAGCGGGGCAGCAGCCGAGCGGCCAGCGCCATTTTTAAAACCTTTCACCTCGGAGCGCGTGGGTGCCGAACCGAAAAGAGACCGGCGGGAAACCACCTCACTTGGCGTCAAGGAAAGAGTCGCCTGGCGGACCTTTTCTCTCCGGGTCGTGTTTCTGGGCGGACTAGGCGCTGAGGAACGCTTTGGGGAGGGCGGAGGGTCGCCGGGTTTCCGGGATTTAAAGGACCGGTTTGAGCAAGCATGGCAGGTCCGTGTCTGCCGGTACCCCGCCTCCAGGGGGTTTCGCAGGAGCAGTTCACGCAGCACCTTTACCCGCAGGTGAGGTTCTGGCGCCACCCGAACTGTGGGGCCACAGGGGGCAGCGACCCTGGCCCGCCCGTGGTTCCGGGGCTTGGGGAGGGCGGCGGCGGCGGCGGCTGGTAGAGGCTTGGCGCTGCAGCTGAGGGAGAAGGCGCCCGGGGGCGTGTGGACTGGATTATGTTAAAGAATTACCCGGGATCAATAGTTCTTCTCTGGAGAGCACTTTGGCCGCTGAGAACTGAGGAGGGACATTTTGCGTAATAAGCATTGCTCGTTATTACGAGCGGCCTTGCGAGGCCCCTGGTATACCTTACCGTGGAACTGGAAATGCCCACCCGCCTCCCCTGCATCCCTATCGCCCTTCCGGTTCTCTAAAATTGAGAGGAAATCCCCCACGACCCCTGGCCAGTGTGCACGTCAGTGTTCTGCGTTGACCCGATTTGGAGGAGCAACTTTTCTTTGAGGTTAAATCGAAAGGGAAAGGAATGGAAATCCCGCCCGAAACTCCCCCTCTGGTTTTGTCTTCTAACTTACCTGACTTCCTGTGAGAGGTGGGCTTCTCTTCACGTCGCGTTTGACGTCTGGTTCTTTGAATCAGAAAGCCCCCAGAAAGTATTAGGGGGGAGAAAGCATATATGTGTATATGTGTGTTTGTGTGTGTGTGGTGTGTATGTATGTGTGTATATATATTTTTAATTTTCATTTTTTACCTGTAGTGCTGCTTCAAGGGGAGTTTACGGTTCAGAGAAAGAGGAATGAGCCCAGCAGTATATTCAAGATAGAGCACATAAGGAATTAGGACTTGAGTACATAAAATAGGAACTTGGAGAAAAACATTTTCAGTGTTTATTTAATACATGAACTTCAGAAAACGCGGTTAAAGGCCAAAAATCTGACATTTCTAAGAAAAGTGGTTGGCGAAGATAAAAATGGCCTTTTAAATGTATGAAATGGTGCTCAGTTTTACAGAAAATTAAAACCAACTTGATGCAGTTTCTTACATACCTTATTGGCAAAAATCAAAGATTCTTGGTAACAATGAAGAAAGTCTCACAGATTACCAAGTGCTACAACTGTTATAGAGAGGAATTTGATGTATCTTTGACAAGGCCTTATGTGTTACTTTATGCTCTAGCAGTTTCTTTTAAGAATTTGCTCTGAAAATTTGCTTATAAGTGCATGGAGAGTAGCTTGCTAAGTGAAATGAGTCAGAAGGGGACAGACATAGAATGACTGCACTCATTTGTGGAATATAAAATAACATAATGTGTGACTAACACACAAGGATAGTAGAGATAAGGGCCAGGAAGATTGCTCCATGGTTGGAAGCCTGCTTCGTGAGTTGGGGGAGAAGGCAACTGGGATAGAGAAGGAATCACTAAGTCGATGGTTGGAGGGATCGCTAGAGATGGGAGAGGTGTGCTGAAAGTAGATAAAGGACCAAACATGATGGCCTCTTGGTATCTGTATTGCAAACCATAAATCCCAAAAGTAGAGAGAGAATAAGAAGGAAGTTGCCTGCCATAGACACAGTGTGGAGTGGGGTGTGGGTGGCAGGAGGGATACTGGGGAAATTGCTGGTTGAAAACGTAAACTGGTGGAAGGATGGGTGTTTGATCATTGTATGAGTGAAACTCAATCCTGAAAGCTTTGTAACTATCTCATGGAGATTCAATTAAAAAAAATTTGCTTTGGGATACACCTTTGACAATACAAAAGAAACTGTATGTCTTTTGTATTTGAAAATTATTATAAAATGAAAATCAAGATGTTGGAACGTGATTGAATAAAATGTTTACTTATGGTATGATAGTGTACTGAACTGTAGAAAACAATGGGGGTAGTAATGTGAATTGAAAGCAGTGATATATATATATATGTATATATATGTAGCGTATTACAATGATTAGTTTTTGTGTAAGAAGGAAAAATAACACCCTTCTAAAAATGCATGAACTGAATCATGAATAAATACTGGATCAGCCAGATTTAAAGCCATTGTTCAAAATAATTGGACTGTGCTGTTCAAAAAATGTTAAGATCACTGATGACAAAAGCTGATGTACAGAGACATGGCAACTAAACTCATTGGGAAAACTCAAAATGGGGTGGCGAGGAATAAATTCCATATTTATCAGGTTGGCTAGCATAATTTGAGTATAGACTATAATGTACCAGTGTTGAATATAATTTTGATAATTATTCTGTGGTTATGAAAGAGAATGTCTTCGTTATTAGAAATATGCCCCCAAGTATTTTAGAGAAAAAGGTGTGTCGTCTGAAATAATTTAGAAAAAAAATTAAATCATGTTAACATCCCTCTCTATACTCATAGTATAAGTGGCAGCAAATGTTAAAAGTGGGGCAAAATGCTAAAATAATCAGTGAAGGGTATACATGACTTTCGTTATATTCGAGTAACTGCCATCAATTTAATATGGCATCAAGATAAAAAGTTATAAGCAAGATTTATATCAATTATAAATTTCAGTTATTTAGGTATTTGGCAGAAGTAATGTTCATGAAACTGCTAAGTAAGGTTTCTTCAGGTTTCTCTTTTAAGTTATTGATGGTATGGCTGTCTTGTTTTTCAGTGTTAAAGTTTTAAGTGTGTTAAAATGGGTCCTTTCGTTTTAGTGAGAGTACAAATTGTCAGAATTTTTGGGTATGAATATCTTGGCATCAATTGATTACTTGATTTTGTCTCTCTTTTGTCAAATACGAGCCTGATATTTTGTTGATTTTCCTCTAATTTGTTGTTCTCCCCACACTTACAGAGAAAACCTCTAGTTTTGGAAGGACTTGATCTGGGGGCATGTACTAGCAAATGGACAGTGGATTACCTAAGCCAAGTTGGAGGGAAAAAAGAAGTGAAGATTCATGTTGCTGCAGTTGCCCAGATGGACTTCATTAGTAAGAACTTTGTATATAGGTATTTTCTTCTGAGGTTTGCTCTGGGGATGCTGATAACCTTTTTAAAGTATTTCAGATATATTTGCATTATTATACAAAGATCATGGTGCTTCTCATCTGTTGGCTAACTTGATACAATCATCAGTCATGGGATAACATTTTTAAACAGAGGCTTCCAAAAGATTGTAATTCAGACTTTACATTTTTATACGAAGACATTTCCTTTAAGTATAAAACCACTGTTTTCTAGTGCCATAAACAGAATTTCTAATTAGATTGAAGTCTAAAGTTAGTGAATGGTTTTCATTCATTATACAAAGCTTTGTTGGTTGATCCTGCCACATTAACAAAAACTCTAAAGTCTATTTTTATTTTAAATGCCCCTATTTTTTAAATATTCTTAATTCCAGATTTTTTGTTTAATAACTATAAGCCCATTTTGCTGCCTTCTTTAGAAAGATAGAAGGCTGAGGAGATAGTGTAGGAGTTAAGGCATTTGCCTTGTAATACACCAACCCAGTCCAGTGTGGTTCAATCCACACGACTGTATATAGTCTCTTGAGTGCCAAATATAGGATAAGTAGTTGCTATATTTGGTAGACTCTTTCATTAACGTGGATGATTTTAAAAAATCGTACTTCATTTTCTTGTTACAAAATAACCCTGAATACTTTTAATTTCCATCATGTTTTTCATTTTATTCTTCAGTGTCTTTTTTTTTTTAACCAAAAAGTGCCAGGAATTATTTATATGCTATCTAAATGTATAAAGCATTATGATCTAAGGATCCAATTGTCACAAATGTTTCTCCTCTGTTTTTTCTTTGTTTTTTTTTTCTGTTTTGTTTTGGGGTCATACCCAGCAGTGCTCAGATTGACCCAGGGGACCAGATTGAGTACCTGAGTTCAAGTTGGGGGATGTCTGCAAGGCAAGCATCTTAAACCCTGTACTATCTCTGTGACCCCACATTGTTATCTCTTAAAAATCAATACTGAGAAACTCAAGGAGATGGTTGCCCATATCTAATCTATCACTGAAACTACTGTAGTTCCCCGAGCATCTCTGGATATTGCCCTAGAGGCCCCCAACCCCACTGGGATGGCTGTGGTGCTCCCATCACCACAGGTACCAAGTAGCACCATGTTATTGAACCACCTGCCCAGCGAGCCAAGAGTCCCCAGGTCTCCTGATCATTGCTTGTAAGCATCCCTTAAAGTAAATAATGAGGTAGTTGATAGCTACTAAATGTCTATACTTAAGTGCCTTGTAACCTTTAGGTTTACTATTATTATGCTGTTTATTCCCCTGAATTTTTCCAATAAATTTGATCAGTAAATGGCAGTGACTGTCAAATTCTGAGTACATAGAGTTTATTAGTAATTTCAACCTATTAGACACACATAGCTCATTTTTAAAAATCTTGATTTTTTTTAAAGACAACTCTCATGCTTCCAGATCTAGAGACGAGTTAAACAGAGCTTCTAATGTTCAGGATATTCCTTTCTAATTAGTTTTCCCATCTCACATAGCAGCTTGACAAAGCATTATTCAATTTTGATCCTTTTGAGTGTTCAAATTGTGGTTTTGGGTTTTTAATAGGCTATGAATTGATTTTAATTACCATAAATCTTTTCAAGTGTAAGAACTTATCATTTTTTATTAAATCATGAAAGTAGAAGAAAGTGCAGGAATGGTGTTTTACAATCTGTAGTTAATGATGTTTATTTTCCAGAAAGTTTAGTGACATGACGAGGTATTTTAACTTCCATCTTCCATAGCCTTGATGTTTCAAATGTTTCAAAACTTGTCTTTGAAACACATGCATTAGGTAACAGTTCCTTTTCCAATTTCCTCCCTTTCATTAGCATTGTTAAAAGTTGCAAGAGTATTTTCTTATTAAAAGGGAGAAAAAGTCACTTTTGACACTATCAGGAAATGAGAAGTAAGTGGGAGAAGGCATCAAGACCAAAGAGATCCTGGAAAACACACACACACACACAAATATATAATTACATTTAATTATTTTATGAAGTACAAGTTGATACATAACTGCTTATTAGTCATTTGAAAACTAGCTTATTTCCAGATCTTCGCTTTGACTACTTCTTAGTATCTCTCAATGTTCTTCTAGAATCAGATACTGTGGACAAGAAGAGCCTTCCTTTTTTTTTTTTTATGGAATGCTTCATGAATTTACGTGTCATCCTTGCACAGAGGCCGTGCTAATCTTTTCTATATCGTTCCAATTTTAGTATATGTGCTGCCGAAGCAAGCACAGAAGAGCCTTCCTTATGTGGTGAACGGAAACAATTATTACTCTGCTCGTATTATATACATATTTCTTAAGTTTAAGTCTCATAAGCTTTCTGCTTCTATCATACCATCTAATTTTATTGTACTATCATTAATCTTGATCTGATTTTGAAAAATTTCCTAAATGGGGAGTAGAAGAGATTGTTTTTCCTGTTCTTAATGTTACTAGATATTGGTATGCTTTTAAAGGAAGTGATCATTGTTAAAGTCACCATATGTCCATTACTGAGCAGAGTATATCCATCATTGCACTGAACATTCTAGACTGGATTAACTTGCCTAACACTTTTATGCTTGTGCTACAGTTGGTGTTTGTCACCATCTGGTGGCTTCATTACGTCCTACTTTCTTTCAATACATGTAACTTAAAAATTTGGAATTACCAGCAAGTAAATTTTCTTTTTTTTGAGCCACACCTAATTTTCTTTTTTTTGAGCCACACCTGGTGTTGCTCAAGGCTTACTCCTTGCTCTGAACTAAAGGATCACTCCTGGTGGTGCTTGGGGGACTATATAGAATGCTGGGTTCAAACCCAGATCAACCTCCTGCAAGGAAAGCATTGTTCCAGCTACACTATTGCCTCAGCTCCTCCTTTTCAACTATATAGTAGCTTTTTCTATTTACCAAACTAATTTAACCAACTATTATATGTATTTGGTGGTACAGTCTATCTGATGTAATATCAAAGTGTCAGCCACCCATGGTGCATAGCAGTGGTACTCACCAGCATCAGTATGTTAAACTTGAGAACAATCTGTGAGGTTTTTGTTTTTTCTTTAATACTAAGTATACAGGTGAGAAAACTTTAAAGGGTTGAGTAACTTATCCAAGATACCATAGCTCAAAATGATAGAAACCGGACTTACACTCAAATTTTGTCTGACTCCATAGCGCCGCAATCTTAATGCTTCTTCGATAATACCTTTCTTACTATTCTGTCTGCTAGCTAGACAAAGGACATTTCAATAGTAAATACATCCACTCCTTTTTTAAAAAAAGAAATAGAGGATAGATAAAACTTCAAGGCAAAGAACTTCTCAATTCGTATGCTTCATTTCCTCTTCTCTCAGCACTGCCTGCAGAGCTAACTAAAGGGGAAGAGCTCGGAACATTCAAACTCTCCTTAGACTGAGCTGTTCTCTCTTTTTTTGCAGAGTCAGCATCCCACCTTGGTCTTGTGAAGGTCTTGAAACAACATGCAGTTTCTCTCTAGAAAATAATTTATCCTGAACAATTATCATACTAATTACAGAGGTATCACTGAATCAGAAAGACTTCCATATTATTCCCAAATTCTTCAAAGATGCTTTTGTAGGAATAAAAGGTAGATGATAAGGTCAGAGATGGAAAACACTGCCTAGGAGGATGCCAAGTAAATTTGTTGATACAGCTTGCCAGAAACTGGTATGATATTGGTCTGACTATTCTTTTTTTTGTGCTCACTCCACACTAATTACCTGGTATCCTCAAGATCACTTATAAGATGATGCAATATTGTACTCTGTTATATTTAATTATCCTCTTAATTCACTGAACCTACAGCATGTAATAGCCCTTGAACTTGGCTTTTCTGATTCATCCAGGGGATATATTCAAGTTAGATACTCAAAAACTACACTGCAGATGAGTGAATCAAATCCCTCATTTCCAAACAATCACTCATCAGTCTTCTCGTCCACATTTGTTTCACCAGTTGAAGATCCTTTTTACAATACATAGCACTACCTGATTATTGCTAGGTAATATTGGATCCTTTTCACATTTGTCTTAGCCTAGTGTGTTTCTGGTAAAACTAGTAGAGGATATGTTCAAGGTATTCTCATATAGAAGAACCTTTTCCTCTACCACCCCAATAGAATTTGCTCCAAAGATGTTTGGTATTAAGACTGCACAGATTATGACTCTTAATTAGAGTTTGGGGGCAAAGTGCTGTGGGGGTTAGGGGGTTGAGAGACTTTCACTCAGATGATTTTGAGGACTTGATTGTTTTGATGTTACTGAGGAAATACCACCTTCATAAAGGGACATTACTTTTAATTCTGGGAGGTATTAGATGGAATAGTACCTGGAGGAAAAATAACTTCCAAGCTCAAGAGGTAAAGGAAACAAACTTTGCATTTTCGTTATTCATCTGGATGGAAAGAATGACATATGGACAGAAATACTGAAGAGTAAAAATACCACAAACTGGAAATCTTGAGATATTCCTCTGAAGGTTTCAAAGGACAGATGTTAGAGGAGGATGAGAACAACGTTGCTGGCTTCTGTGTTCTGAGGTAGTGTTGGAAAGTAGGAAGATCATGAGGTTTACCTTCACTGGACCATTCTCTTTCAGTTTCTACCAAGGTAGCACTAGTTTGCCCAATGCTTCACAGAAGTTGTTTTTTTCATGAAGCTTGAAAATAGGTACTATAAAGGCAAAACTATTTCCAAGGGTAGGGACATTTTTTTTCCCACAGTACTTGGAAAGTGACGTTGCTGACATTTGAGATGGATTCATGTGTAACATAGATTTTTAAAAATAAGTTAAAAAAATTTGACATCTTAATACAAGCAATTCATTTAGCACATGACTAAATGAATCTTTAAAATAAGGAATTCCACATGATAGGTTATTTTTTAAATTGTGAATATTTAAAAAATATATTCAACTTTTCCATCCTAATGTTTAATGATTAAAATATTCTCGTTCTTATGTCTAAGTGTTCTTTATGTTTTTTTCAGAACTTTACCTTTTGATGAGTTGATTCAGAGGGCAGCTGAAGACAAGCATAAAGAATTTTTTATTTCAGAGGTAATTGTTTTTAACATTTTCTTTAGAAAACATGTCTGTCTACTAAATGAATGGGTGTATGGGTGTTTTTATTTATTTATTTGGTTTTGTTTTGAGGCACACACTTGGTGGGCTACATCCAATGCAGAACTTGCTCTGTGCTGGGCATTCAACCCTAACCTCCTTCATGTGCTCCAGTTGTTTTGAACACTGCCAGGAGCAAGTACCTTTTTCTTTTCTTTTACTCTCGTGCTGGGTATTATAAATGTATTTTCTTATAAAAGTATAACATCAGGGGCTGGAGCGATAGCACAGTGGATAGGGTGTTTGCCTTACACATGGCTGACCCGGGTTCGATTCCCAGCATCCCATATGGTCCCCTGAACACCACCAGGAGTGCTCATCGGGTGTGACTCCCCCCCAAAGAAAACCCAAAAATAAATTAATAATAATTTTTAAAAAAGTATAACATCAGATGCACAAAACCTGTAGCATTCTCTGATTTGTAAGGTTCAATTGTATGTCGGAAATCTTAGCTGTGCCTTGTATTAGAACTTGCACCTTGGCCAATTTTTATTTTTATACTCTCAGTATATTTATCTATAAAATAGGAATAATAGTGGCATCTGTTCCATTAACAAAATAAAATCTTTAGAGTATTCTAGAGGTCTGATATGATTAAAATGTCCACTGAAGCTAATCCCTTTAAATTTACCTAAAATGTTTTTGAACTGTATAGTCATGTCTTAACATATACATGTTAAACATGTATATTCAGTTGTCCTGATACTTTGCCATCTAAAGGTAATGAATGGCACCTTAAAGAGCCCTGAAGTGCTAAGTGAAGTGAAAACAACAGACTGGAATAAAAGATTAAAGTCTAAAAATTATGGAAATTGGGATGAATATGGACAGTTTTGTCCTCTGTGAAGCAGCTGCTTAGTTGGAATTAGGAATTCAAAAGATTTATTGGGGTGTAAAATAATTGACCGTGTGAAAGGAAGCAGGGAAGATTGGGTAGGAGGAAGTCTTCTGATGGTGAGGAAGATCTTAGAGTCTCTGCCAGCTTCATGTGGAGCGTTACGCATAGACTGCCTTTTTGAGGCGTCCTGCATCAGGATTCCCAATATGTACTATTTTGCTTACTCATTGGTTAGGTTTATCCCAAGAAGAGCCTGCATTAAGTTCAAAAGCTGAATTGAACCTGAAAGGAGTTGATAGCTAACAGTGATAAGTTAACCACACTCCTGGCAATCTGAGGTTTGTTTTTTGTGTGTGTGTGTGTGTGTGTGTGTGTGTGTGTGTGAAAAAATTCTATTTTTGTGTGTGTGTGTGAAAAAATTCTAAACAATTCATCTGTGGATCTACACCTTTATCTTTTTTTAAACTTTGAAATGTTAGGATTGGTCAAAAACTCTTTAGAATTTTGAGAATATTCTTCGAAACCTGCGCATACTGATAATGTATTAGTTAAAAATATAAAACAGTAAAGAATATATCTATAGAATTGTCTATTTGTAGTATATTATTAGGTAAATCAGATATATTTTGATGTTTGTGTTCAAATTATATAGGAGGCACAATTTTTGGGGGGAGGGGAAGTGCCCTCTCCCAAGCAGTGCTCATCAAGGGACCTCCTCCCAGCAGTTCTCTGCCTGCATGGCCAGAGGATGAAGTACTGCCTGGGGCCAGTGGTACAGGGTTAAACCAGACTATTCTGGTGGTGTTAGCCTCATGCAAGCCAAGTGCCAAGTACCTACTATGTATTTCTCTTTAGCCCTAAGACAGAACTCTTTTTTTAAAATTTTTTTTATTTTAATGAATCATAGTGAGATACAGTTACAGACTTACAAATTTTCATTATTACATCTCAGTAAAACAGTGTTCGAGTACCCATCCCTCCACCAGTGCCCATTCTCCACCACCAATGTTCCCAGTGTCCTCGCCACTCCCACCCCTTCCCATTCCTTGCCTCTGTGGCAGACATAGCTAACAGCTGCGTAGTATTCCATTGTGTAGATATACCAAAGTTTCTTTAGCCAGTCATATGTTCTCGGGCACTCGGGCTTTTTCCAGATTCTGGCTATTGTAAATAGTGCTGCAATAAACATACAAGTGCAGATGTCATTTCTACTGTGCTTTTTTTGCATATCCAGGATATATTCCCAGATGTGGTAGTGCTGGGAGCTCAATTTCTAGTTTTTTGAGAAACATCCGTATTGTTTTCCAAAAAGGCTGGACCATGTGCCATTCCCACCAGCGGTGAAGGAGAGTCCCCTTCTCCCCACATCCATGCCAACGCGATTCCTTTTCTTTTTTTGAATGTTTTCTAGTCTTCTAAGACAGAACTCTTGAGAGGGTTTGATGCCATACTTGGATCAATATATTTCAGTTTTCTAATCATACAGGAAATAAAGGCAGTAGAAATATTTTATAATTCAAGTAGTTCTATTTTTCTATTTGTTTTTCATTTTTTTCCTTTTTGGGTCACACCCGGCGGTGCACAGAGGTTACTCCTGGCTCTGCACCCAGGAATCACTCCTGGCGGTGCTCAGGGGATCATATGGGATGCTGGGAATCGAACCCACGGGGGTCGTGTGCAAGGCAAATGCCTTACTTGCTGTGCTACTCAGTGAATTTTAACAAAAAGTATCAACTCCCTTATGCTATTATGAAGTGATAAAGTTCTAAATCATACATGACCGGATCTGTAAAGGATTTGTCATGTGAATTTATATGATGAGAGGTAGGCTTAACTGAAATGCTTATTTTATTGAGATAAATAAAATATGACGCATTGTGACAAAAATGCAACAGTCCATATTTATAGTAATTCATTAAAAGTTTAAGTTACTTTGTCTCAGTATATATTTGTAACATTCATCTCAGTAATACCTTGAGATCATGTGCATTGTACAAATGGGAATTCTTTTATTGTCTCTAAAACAGTTATGAGTCTAAGCAATACATATAAATGAAGCATTCAGACTCTGTTGTGTGTGAGTGCCCATTAGAATGTATTTTAGTTAATGTTTTGTGAATTCAGTCTTTATAACAAGCAACATATAAAGATATTTCTTCATATGGCCACCAGAGAGCGTTACTAGAAAGGATAAGAAAATTGAACTTACATAACTGAAGTTAAATACTAAGATTCATTTCCTTCCATCTTTGCTTCCTAATATTTTTAAGTGAACGCTGGTACCATTTTTCTTTGGCGGCTTTAGGATGAGAAATACTACCTGCGATCTCTTGGGGAAGACCCTCGAAAGGTAAGCAGTCTGAATATAAAGCAATTTAAATTCAACTGGCATCTTAAATTATAAGTTCATTGTCTGACTTTTGATCTGTTTTATTCTTAATGATTTATGTTCTTTATTTTTGAGTGGGGGATAACAGCATATCTGGAGGTACCAGGGATTAAACCCAGGCCTTCTGCATGTAACGCTTGCATTCCAGTCTATGAGCCATCTTCTTGAGTCCTTATTTGTGTTCTTTAATAAAAAATAAGATTATTAACATTTAGTTTGGGTTAGTGTTCAGCTAAGATCATAAAATCTTAATATTAAAAGTAATCCAATTTGTATCCAATTAAGAAATCTGTTCTGTTTATTTTCTGTTAGGACATTCAATTAATACATAGCCACGGAATGTAAACATAATCTAAAATAATCATCAAATTCAAATAATTCATTTTGTAAGCCTTGACATGTGTTCAGAGTCAAAGTAATGTGCCCTATCATATTAAAAAATGGTCCCTAAAATTGTCTGCCATAGAGACAGGGGGAGGGGTAAAACGGGTGTGTATGTGGGGGGGTACTGGGGACATTGGTGGTAGAAAATATACACTGGTGGAGGAGTGGGTGTTTGATTTTTGTATGACTGAAACTCAAACATGAAAGCTTTGTAACTGTAGCTCATGGTGATTCAATAAAAATAAATAATTGCTCATAAAAATGGCTCCTAAAAAAGATCAAATATCAGTGAGATTTTATATTTCTCTTTATGTCACCATTTAGTTCTTTACTTTCTTCAATTCTCCTTCAGAGGAACCCACAGGTTTTACAGAGTTGATAACATTCAAGTTGTTAAGTATTCATTTAAAATACTTAATACTAGAATAGATGCCAATGGTATGATTCAAACTTAAATTAGGAAGAACTTATAAATGATGCAACCTAATCTTACCAATGCAGTATTATTGAATCTTTAATCTTATTACATGCGTTGTTGGGCAGGAGTGATAGCACAGCAGGTAGGGCATTTGCCTTGCATGCGGCCAACCCGGATTCAATTCCTCTGTCTCTCTTGGGGAGACCGGCAAGCTACCGAGAGTATCCTGCCCTGACGGCAAAGCCTAGCAAGCTACGTGATGTATTCAATATGCCAAAAACAGTAACAAGTCTCACAATGGAGACATTACTGGTGCCCACTCGAGTAAATCGGTAAACAACGAGAGGACCGTGCTACAGTGCTACGTGGGTTGTTATTCCTTCATTTGTAAGATCATGTGTTGATTATGTTCACATCATAGTAATTTGTAGTGTGAACTAGGTTTGGCCCATTTTCCCTGTATATTATGGGTTCTAATGGTCATCTTGATAAATGAACTTTATGTTGGTGTTGTGTTTATTATTAAAAGTCTTGTGTTTTTATATAGGGTATTTTTGAAAAATAATTATGTTTTTCTCTATCCAAAAAGAAAACAAAAATAAAACTGGCAGGCTACCGAATGTAGCCTGCCCACACGGCAGAGTCTGGCAAACTCCCTGTGGCGTACCCAATATGCCAAATACCAGTAACAATGATGGGTCTCATTCTCCTAAAGAGCCTTGAATATAATCTCAGGGCTAGGATGAAGGAGACGTTACTGGGGCCTGCTCGAGGCAATCGACGATTAACAGGATGATTTGATTTTGATTGATTTGATGTTTTTCTCAACACAGGATGTTGCGGATATCAGAAAACAGTTTCCTTTACTGGAACAAGATATTAAGTTTCCCAAATTCTTCAAAGAGGAACAGTTCTTTTCCAGTGTTTTTCGAATTAGCTCACCAGGATTGCAACTTTGGACGCACTATGATGTATGTTACATAAATGAGAAATTTAAAGCAATAGTAGATCTTTAATAGTTAGACATTTAATAGTCATGGTTTCAGTGTTTCTGTAAGGTGTTCTTAAGATCTTTGATATGTAATGTACAAATGCAGGTTTCGGTAACAAATTCTCTTTTATGGGAGTAAATTATTAATGTGAAACCTAGTTTTTCTCATTTGCATTTTTCTGTGGTCTTGTTTTTGATTTGTCATTGTGTGTATACACATATGTGTGGATACACACTGTTTTAAGAAATCGCTGTCCTTTGTACATGTGAAAAATGGCCACTGCATGCGGAATATTGTGAAAGTAAAAAAAAGTAATAAGGGGTGGCATGAGAATGTCAAATGATACACATGACTCAATAGACTTGTTACTCAGGATGAAGGCAGAAACTTGTGGAGAGCCAAAGAATTTGGAATATTTAAGAATTTATAAGAATTTGGAATATTTAAGAGTCTTAAAGTATATATCCCTGAAATATATCAGATATCAGGACCAGAGTAATAACATAGCTGTTAGAGCACTTGCCTTGCATGTGACTATCCCGGGCTTGATCCCTGGCACCCCATATAGTCCCCTGAGCCCACCAGAAGTGATTTCTGAATACACAACCAGGAGTATAGGAGTACATCCTGAGCACCACAAGGTGTGCCCCCCCCCCAAACAAACAAAAAAAAGTCAAATATCTGTTGAATTTATTGAATGATAAGATGTATAGACTGTTGTTCTTGATTGCTGCGGATTTCTAATTTTGTTTGCTTAAATATGTGCACATGTGTGTAAATATTTTAAAACTTGAAAGCCTGGTATTTTTTATAATTCATCTCAGGACCCCTTCGGAATATTTTAATAGAGTAACAATAAATGACATAGATATCACAGCATAATGTTTTTGAAACATGTGATAACTTAAATGCTTTTTTCCAATAGGGGACATACCCAGTGCCAGGCCCCCAGCGCCATACTCAACAGTTTATCCCTGTGGTTGATATGTGATAGATGTGTAGTCTACCACTTGAGCTACATGCCCAAGCCTCAAGTACATTTTCATGATTTTTAAAAAAATTTGTGTTGGTTTCACACCTGACTCTGTGTTCAAGAATTACTCCTGAAGGTGCTCAGAGGACCATGTAGATGCCAGCAGTGAACCCGGGTTAGCCACAGGCAAGGCAAACACCCTACCCACTGTATCATCACTCCAGCCCCTCAAATACATTTTTAGCTGTATTCTATACTTATGTTTTACATTTAAGGAATATTCCTTTTATTTCAAGTTTTAATGAGACTGTTATAAAACTTATCTGAAAAATAAGTTGCAGGGGGAGATTGGGCATCAGTGTCAAATGGTAAAGCACATGTGAGAGGCCCAGGGGGCGGTCTCCTATACTAACTACACCCACAGTACTGATACTAATTCACAGGAATTCTGCTTATATAGTTATAGTTTACATAAGGTACACTGTTAGAGAAATGCTTTGGTAGAAATAATGCATAATCATGAACATATCTTGCCTTGTATATATTTTAATCCCATAGATAAGTATGTAGCTCTATCTTTTAACATTTACACACACAATCTCTACCAACAAAGTATAATCCAAAGTAGGATAGGGGCGGGGGCGGGGTGCGTGTAGGATCAAGAATAAGAAAACTTGCCAGGTTGTATTCATATATAAATAATTGGGAAATTTAAATGCCTATGATGGAGCGATAGCACAGCGGTAGGGCGTTTGCCTTGCACGCAGCCAACATGGCTGACCTGAATTCGATTCCTCTGCCCCTCTCGGAGAGCTCGGCAGGCTACTGAGAGTATCTCGCCCACACGGCAGAGCCTGGCAAGCTCCCTGTGACATATTCGATATGCCAAACACAGTAACAACAAAGTCTCCAATGGAGACGTTACTGGGCCCGCTCGAGCAAATCGATGAACAACGGGAGGACAGTGACAGTGACAGTGATGATGAAATTTGGTTGGTATTAAAAAAGTTTCAGTGGGGTTGCAGCAGTACCTTATATTTTTCCAGCACCTAGTTAATTTCTAAGTTCTTTCACTATTTTTGTCTATTTATTGGTGCTTAGCCGCATTCCTTAACAGGTAAGTAAGTAATGACCAAGAAAAGATCCAAATAGGTGTAACTGCCTTCAGTGCCGTAATGGGAGGACAAAGACAAATAGTTCCATTATTTCAGGCTTCTTTATGGCTTTACTGATCCTTCCCATTTCATTCTCTTGGTGGGGGCACACCCAGCAATTGTCAGGGGAAGATATTGGATGCCAGAGATCAAACCTGAGTGAACTGCAGGCAAGGCAAGTGCCCTACTTGCTGTACTATCTCTGTAGCCCGAACACATTCCCAGTTTAAGGCAGAGCTTCAGAGATACTTTTAATTAAAGAGATAGTTAAGTATTTGGAATATAAATATCTTCATTGTTAGAATCTTTTAACTATAAGAGTTTTAGGTGATGTCTTATTAAAAGAATAGGATTACAGTGAACTGTTTTGAATGCTGTTGATTCTATTAGAATTTTAGATACTACTTATCTATAAAATATTTTGGTCTTTAGGTAATGGATAATTTCTTAATACAAGTGACAGGAAAAAAGCGTGTTATACTCTTCAGTCCTCGTGATGCCGAGTACTTATATTTATCAGGTAATATTTTTTCAAGTTTATATTTCTAAAATATAGTAAAATTTCATTACCTTGTTTGAGACACTTATAGAAAAACATCTTAGTACTTTTTCCTTTTCATGATATATTCTATTTTCTATTACATATGTTGTAATAACAGGATAATGAGATTTTCAGATTTTCTTAATCATGTGGTTATAAATGAAGAGTAGATCAGTGGAAATTGTCTTACCTTTCGGGTAAAAGCTCTTCTCATAGTCTACATAAATTATACACAAAATAGTGCATTTTCAAATTTATATGTGATTCTTTATAAAAACTGCTAACTATACCAATTAATATTATTTTCCCTCCACCTTTTTTTTTTTAACTTTTCAGGTACTAAATCAGAAGTACTGAATATAGATAACCCAGACTTAACTAAATATCCATTGTTTTCCAAGGCTAGAAGGTATGAATGTTCTCTGAAAGCTGGAGATGTGTTGTTCATTCCTGGTAAGATTTCTCTGCCTTGATATGTTGGTTATAAAATCTGGATTCTGCCATGCATTCACTGATTTTTTTTTTCCCCGTAGAAAAGTTGCATGTGTTATGTCCTGTAAAATTGTATGTATTTTATCCTGTGAAAGATGATTTTACACACAACTGTGACGTTTAAGCAGTGGTTTTTAAGTATTGGGCTATGAACTGGAGCCATTCATAGATATTTCCTGCCAGTCCAGGAAAAAGCTCCTGCCACTTAGTGGTTTTTAATCTCAGGTTCTTGCATAGGTACCAATTGTCAGGTAAAAGTGTGGGTCTATCAGCTGGAGATACAGTACAATGAGTAAGGTACTTGCTTTGAACAGGACCAATCCTAGTTCACTCTAACACCAGATGGTTCCCCCATGTACCTTCAGGAGAGATCTCTGCTATAAAACCAGGAATAAACCCCGAGTCCTCTGGGTATGATCCCAGAACAAAACAAAAGGGCCCAAGCGAGACCCACAGTGTGGATAGGGTACTTGCCTTGCATGCTGCTGACTCAATTCAAGCCCTGGCATCCTATATTGTCCACCAAGCCTGCCAGGAGTAATTCCTGAGCACAGATCCAGGAATAACCCCTGAATATCACTGAACGTGACCCACAATCAAAACAAGCGAAAACACCCCCAAAACCAACCCCCCAAAACCAGTACTTAGCCCAATTTCTATAACCATCATTATCTTGTTTTCAGAGTGACTAATACTTTCGGGCCAAAGCGATAGTATAGTGGATAAGGTGCTTGTGTTGTTTGAGGCTGACCAGGGTTTAGTCCCTCGCATTCCGTATGGTCCCCCAGAGTACTGCCAAGAGTATTGGTGAACCAGGAATAACTCCTGATCATCACTGAGTACAGCCCCAAAAGCAAACATAACCTCCCAAAATAAATAGCCCATAATTTAATGTTGTTGAGTTATGATGTTAATGTGTTTTCTAAAAAGGTAGAAATATTTTTCAAAGTCAAAACAGATTAGATATTTTTGTAAATATTGTGTTCCAAATGCTAACACTTGTGACATCTTGTGTACAATAATCTGTATTATGAATTAGCATCACATAACTTTTGTGCAATATGATTTATTTATATAGGATTTAGCTTGTAGGCATTGCCTTTTATAAGTGTCTAGAATTATATGATTAATATCTCTAAACGTTCAAAAGTGAGTATCACCAGATTAAATTAAAATTTTTTAAAATGCGCATTGTTTATATATTAATATATAAAATATATTAGTTATTTATCAAACGTAAATTAATGGAGTAACCATTCATACCTTCTTTCAGTGATAGTTAAGTAAAAAGGTATTGATCAAAAATACAATCTTACTTAGTTTCTAAGTTAAATTTCTTAAGGATAAGGAAATATGTATAGTTAATGTCTATATTCCTCAAAAGTGATACAATATTCTTCATCTAATTGTCCATAAAGATTTTCTACATTCTTGGGGCTGGAGCGATAGCACAGTGGGTAGGGTGTTTGCCTTCCACCTGGCCGACCCAGGTTCGATTCCCACCATCCCATATGGTCCCCTGAGCATCGCCAGGAGTAATTCCCGAGTGCAGAACCAGGAGTGACCCCTGTGCATCGCCGGGTGTGACTCAAAAAGCAAAAAAAAAAAAAAAAAAAAAAGATTTACTACATTCTTATATTAGTGAAAAACAGTATAAATGTTAAAAGATTTTTAATTTTGTCAAAGCATAGTTAAGGGCTATTTAGTTTTCCTTTGTTCTATTTACAATTTTTTTATTGTGGTTTGGGGACCACCCCCAGTAGTGCTCAGGGCTTCCTCCTGGCTCAGTGTTCAGGGGATCATACCTGGCAGGGCTCAGGGGACAGTATGTGACACTGGGATCAACTTGGGTTGGCCTTGTGCAAGGTGAGTATCTTACCTACTATACCAACTCATGGGCCCCCTCTGTCTCTGAACATTTACTTATATTTTAAAATAAAACCAAAAGTTTTATATTTGGATTTAAATTTACTGGTTTTTAAAATTTCAAAAATTTAAACTTTTCTTTGTATTCTGTTGGATTGGGGGGAAAAATTTGAAAGGAAATATATTTAAAATTGAAACTGAAAATTAGCCCGGATGGGATCCATGCTGAAAGTAGACTATAGACCAAACATGATTGCCATTCAATGCCTCTTTGCAAACCACAGCACCCAAAAGGAGAGAGAGAACAAAAGGGAATGCTCTGTCACAGAGGCAGGGTGGGATGGGGAGATGGGGGGTGGGAGGGATACTGGAATCAGTGGTGGTGAAGAATAGGCACTGGTGGAGGGATGGGTACTCAATCATTGTTTAACTGAAACCCAAGCACAAAAATTTGTAAGTCTGCAACTGTACCTCCTGGTGTTTCACTAATAAAAACTAAAAAAAAAAAAATCTATACCACAGTTTAAAAAAAAAAATTTTAGGGACTGTATTTCTACTTAAGAAATAAAGAAAAAAATTAAATGAAAAAAATTAGTTTTGAAAAGTAATTTTGAAAATAAATATATTTTATGCTTTTGTTTTTCTTAGAGCACCCTTAGAATTTTCTCTAAAATTTAGTGTCTTGTAAATCTTCCTTTCTCCTTTTCATAAAATTAAACACTCTTTGATGTGAATGTGCTTCATTTTTGTTACAATATGGTGTTGCTTTAATATTCTTGTAGCACCTATATTTTGAAAATGCTTCGACTAGATTAAAAAACAAATAAAATCTTCTGGTGGATGTAAAATACCAATTAGTAATATAATGTGATAAAGTTTTTTATCCTCCTGATCAACAAAATATGTTTTATATAATTAAAGAGCCTTAAATACATAATTATAATTACATTAGAAATAAAATGCCAAGGAGGCTACAAAACAGTGTAAATTTAGACAAGTTAGAAAACCAAATGCAGTTTTAACAGGAAGTTTTTGAGAACAAAATTACTCAACTGAGTCAGAAAAGGTCAAAGATATTCCTCAAATAATTGAAATGGTCTGTTTATAAAAAAGTAAACACTTTTGATGTGGTTGTGAGACTCAGGAAATGTAAACAAGTAACACAAAACACAGTTCCAAATTACAGACCTACAAAACAAATATAACTTTATTATGTCTTTCAAGTCTAAAAGGAAAAATCGCTATTTCCAAAGAACGTACGTTTGTGCTGTTGACACTTTAAATTGGTTGGCAATTCATAAAAGTTAAAACGATTCTGTTAAAAGCTGGGAGTATGCTAAAGAAGAGATCTAGTTACAAGAATTATTTCTTGCATTGGCTATATGCAATTCGTGATATTTCACTGACATTTTGGTTTTTTTATAACTGTACATTTTATTTTTAACTTGTTTTTTAAAATTTTCTCTAGCTTTATGGTTCCATAATGTAATTTCTGAGGAGTTTGGAGTGGGAGTGAATGTCTTTTGGAAGCACCTTCCTTCTGAATGCTATGACAAAACAGATACCTATGGAAACAAAGATCCTACAGCAGCATCAAGAGCTGCACAAATTTTGGATAGAGCCTTAAAAACACTGGCTGAATTACCAGAGGAATACAGAGACTTCTATGCTCGGCGAATGGTCTTAAACATTCAAGACAAAGCCTACAGCAAAAACTTCGAATAAACAGATGAAGAAGTGAATGCAATGAATGTAAATTTTTATAATTTAGCTCAAATGTTGGAGAAGTGGCATAACATCATCTTTTAAAGATTCTTTGTTATGGGAAAGATAAAGCAATTTCAGGTTTACAAATTAGCAAGTATGAAGGGATATTTGTAGAACAAATTGTTTTGGTTGGAAGAATACTATTTTGTTGGAAGAATCCACCCTAGTTTTCAGATGCATGTAACTGAAAGTCCAATTTAAAACAATAAAATGTATTGAATCATTATGAAGTTTGCTGGTAGAATAGGCTTCTATATTTCTGATTCAGTGATTCACTGATGTCACAAAGAACCTTTGGGTTTTTTTTTCCCCTCGTCTCATTTCAGTGGCAGCATTGGCATCATCTTAAGGCCAGCTAACCTCGTGGTCATGGATTGCTTGCCAATAGCAGTGGGGGCCATGAGCTCTTCTTCATTAACATGCAGTAGAAGAACCAAACTGGATTCCAGGGGCCATCTCTCAGTAGAAGAAAGCTTTCCCAGAATTCGCCTCCAGATCCTTGGGTCTTATTGTTCTCAGGCAGCATAGACATGTACATCCAAGGCAGTCACTGGTAAAGAGCCAAGAATAGAACAATCCTTTTTCTGGTCAGGTTTGTGGAGCTGGATGTAGAATTCTCTTTCTCTGAGGTACATGAAAAATGGGATGATATGGGTAAATATGGAATGGGTAATTTTTAAACAGTTCTGATAAGGAAGAAAGGGAAACCAGAAATGCCCAATTACAGTACTCTTAAGTTTCTAAAACACAGCTTTGATCTCTTAATGTGTTTGGAATTTGGTATAGATAGCTCTATATATTGCCCCTTGGGCTGGAACAATAGCACAGCGGGTAGGGCGTTTACCTTGCATGCAGCCGACTTGGGTTTGATTCTTCCGACCCTCTTGGAGAGCTCAAAAGCTACCAAGAGTATCCCACCCACACGGTAGAGCCTGGCAAACTCCCTTTGGTGTATTTGATATGCCAAAAACAGTAACAAATCTTACAATGAAGGCGTTACTGGTGCCCGGTTGAGCAAGTTGATGAACAATGGGGATGACAGTGCTACAGAGGTTGTTCTGATATATAAGAACCACTGTGCATTAGATAATAGTAATTTGGATTATTAGTTTTACGGTTTGTCCAAAACAGTTCCTTGATCCTGTTTCATTCTTAGTACTCAGTGTAGCTCTTTGAATGTTAAAAATACTGTTTTTCAGCATACATAAAAATCCATTTTAATGTGAAGCTAATGGATAAATTTTAAAGTTTTCACCAATTAATGTTTAACGACAGCCATTGTATGTGAGCTGTACCATTCTGTTTTAGACTTAGTATTTTATTACAATGTCATTGAAGAAAGACCCAGTACATTTACTGAACACAATGGTACCAACATAAAAAGAATATCAGAGATAGCATATTTGGTGCATATTAGAGAATTTTTTCTATTTGGTGCATATTAGAGAATTTTTTCTATTAAAAATTATCTGCTCATAAAGGGCCAGTACAGTGACTAAAGCACTTGTCTTGTACATGACCAACCCTGGGTTCAATTCCCTGAACCCCAGAGTCCCCTCAGCTCTTGTTAAGAGTGAGCCTTAAGCACTGCCAGGTGTGGTCCCCAAAATATACAGAATTGTCTGTTTATATCCTGTATTCGGAGCTAGATTAATCTCAGATCACTTGGTACAAACTATAATAAGCTGTGAAAAATCCTTAATTTTCTAGGTTTCTTTGGAGTTGATTGCTCAAGTTAAAAGGAGTGAAGGATTTATATATAATTATTAAATTTTGATCTTTCATTAATTGTTGAAGTATTTCTGTGGTTCTTTTTTCTTTGGGAGAGAAAAGTCAAAAACCCTTCTGAGTTTGAAATTACTTGTTTATAGTCAGTTCTTTAATAAGCCCTCGGTTTTGCTATGTATGGTAGCTATGTAGGGGCATAGATAGGTGCTTGGATACTTAGAATAACATTACAGTTTTGGCAGAGAATATTCTTCTTACTCAGTTTATTTGGGAAGCAAACTGACTCTCCTTACGCAAATTAAATGAAACTTTTTGAAGCTTATTTTTCTTATTTTCAAAAACAGTTAAATTGTAATTTATATGATTGGCTAAATACAGGAGAAAGTTCAAGGGCAGGCACACAGTTGATAGCTGGTGTTTGCTTCCATTTAATCGTTCTTTCAGGGCCAGAGCGATAGTCCAGCAGGGAGGGGTTTGCCTTGCATGCAGCTGACCTGGGTTCAATCCAGGCACCAACTAAATGACCACCCAAGCACTGCTGGGGGTAATTCCTGAGTGCAGAGTCAGGAGTAGTCCCTGAGCATTGCCTGGTGTGACCCAAAACAAATTATTCTTTCTGTCAAGTCGAGATTGTTCCTGTTGCAATCATAAAAATGATTGTCCAGGGTCTGTAGCAACAGTACAATGGGTAGGGTTTTTACCTTGCACGTGACCCACCCAGGTTGGTATCCCTGCCACCACATATGGTCTCTTGAGCCCACCAGGAGTGACCCCTAAACAGAGGCAGGAATAAATCCTGAGCACTGCCAGGTGTGACTCCCAAACCAAAAATAAATAGGTTTTCAGATCCATGGAGCTGGATAAAATAAATTGGAATTATAGTTGTGACCAAGTTAATAATTCCCTATTCTGTTAATACCTCATTTTTAAATAGACTACACGGTTTTGTAGATTTAGCTATAGTTTGGGGACTTCACTTGACTCACAAAGTAGTGTTTTTCATCTGCTAGCAAAACTTCTCACTGATACATAGAAAAGGGATACAAAGACTGATGAACAAGTACCAGCCCAGTTTAGGATGAATATTATACAACTACAAAAATGAAATGCAGAGATGTATGTACTGGCAAGGAATTTTCTCAAGATTCCAAATGACAAAAAACATTTGAAAAGTGTTTAATATGTGTATTTGTATAATACAAAGACATGTTCCAAGTAGACATCAGTTTGTGTATGTGTTGCATTTACACAAAAATAAACCACTAATGATAGCTTCTGAGTAGTGATCGAATAAGCAGGTGGGCAGGCCAGAATCCACAGTTGTATATTATTATTTAAAACTTTTTTCCCTGTGTACTTTCTGAAAACAAGTTCTGAAAATACATACGTAGGCTATAATTAGTGGCTTTTGGTAAATACTGAGATTTTGTCTTGGTATTAATTACAGTGGAATTACATACAGTTGGAATCTATTCAATAAATAATGTTCAACTTGTGACCATGAAAAACCAAAATAGGAAACAAAGTCTATGAAGATTATTTTGAATCTTTTTATCCTTTTGAACAGTAGCTAGGTGTACATATAGTATGAACCTTAGTAGCCAGTATTTCAATTGTCTAAAATTGCCAACACTTAGCTGAATAGAAGTTGACCCCTTCCCCTCCCCAGGAAGCTAAACGCAGGTCTGGATGGACTTGGAACTGTACTTCTGACTCCTTTCCCTAGTGCTAAACTAATAAATGTATCCAGGAAGAACTGACATAGATTGGCAGTCACCCTTTATTGTCTCTGCTATTACCTTAAAATCTTGCTTCCAGAACAAAGGATGTGTCTGTCTGTCTCCATTATACCAAGATTGTATCCTGGTTTTCAGAGTTCCATTTTATGGGATACTAGAATGGCCAGAAATGACTTCCTGTCTCTAACATGAATAGCTCCTCACCCCTTTGTATCATTTGTAAAGAGCAACTTGAATTAATGATTCCTATATAAATGTATACCTAGAAATCTGTGTATCATCTTCATACTTTAGACTTTAAAGCTGAGTTTGCTGTACCTATTTGGCTTACCACCCCTTTCCAGGAAAGGAAAAGGAAAAAAACCACTCAACCATGTGCCCTGGAAATCTACTTTAAATGAATACTCACCATTTGCATCCGAGGCTTCTAATTCAATCTCACTTACCTCCATCTTTTTAGGAACCTAACTCCTACAATGGAATTATCACCCATTTTGAGAAGCACTGCTATATAATAATTGAGGCATAACATTAACACTTTTAAGAATACTGCCTTTTGGGCCTTAGGCCAAGAAGTGTTTGCAAATAGCCAGCCCCAGTTAGATCCTTAGCACCATTGTCCCCTAAGCAATGCCAGGAATGATCCCTGAGATACAGAGCCAGGAGTAAACCAGTTTGTGGCCCAGTCCCTCCCCCAACCCGCAAATACTATACACAGACACATGCATATATGTATATGAAATACATCGCCTCTTCAGGCTTAGTCTAATCTTCATTTCTGTATTCACATCTTAGGGTTTGTTTTGTCTGTACCATATCCCAAAATCAGAGTTTCACTATTTAAGAACAGCTAAAGGACACAGGCGATCAGTGTAGAAAAGGAAGAACTTATTTTTGATTTTGTTTTATACAACTCTTTATAGAAGAAAACAATAGAAATTTTTATGAACATTAAAAAATGTATTCTTATAGAAAAGAAAAGAATCAAGGCTGATTTGAAAAAACATGGTTAATGAAGGCATATCCAAAGAGTAAATGGAAATAAACCACTTCCTTTCAAATAACTAGTTTTAACAAATTCAGTAACATAAAGCACATCTAAAGTTCTGTGAATTAATTTTAATACAATTTTATCTTCATGCTGTGGTGTTAATAACTTTCATATTTGTATGACTACTCAATTGACTTATTTCATGCCACAATCACAAAGGCACAATCCAGAAGAATATACTGAAATACACAACAGTTTTAACCATATAAAGGACAAATTTGGAGTATTAAAATTATTTGAAGATGGATCAACTACTTGACTGCCGCATTTTGATGCAATGCAAGAAAGGTTACTTAACAAAACATAAAAATAGTTACTTAACAAAACATAAAAATGCCGGGTTTTGACCTTGACACTTTTGCATTTGCCATTTTAGTTTAACCTGTTCCCTCTCTGCATTCAGCAGTTCAACAATTCAGCATTTGCTACACAGGCATATGACCAAGGATTACTCAATTAAAAAAAAATCTTTGAATAATCAGTACTTTATGACAAATTTATCAATCAAATGCTAAAATTAGGATGACATGTTTCTTTAATGGGAATTTTTGATTTCAAAAGAAATGGCAGGTATTTAAAGAAAGAGTATTAAAGTACTTTGTTCAGAAACACAAAATTCATTGAAACACTATTTTGTAGTTAATAAAATTAAGGATGTATTTTTTAAGAATCTGATTAAGAATCTTTTCTTGTTAGTCGTCATATTTAGAATGATTTTTCAGACATTAAAATATATTCTGGGGAAAAACAAGTTAACAATTTTGTTTAAAAAAATTTTATGTCCTTTGTGTTATAGGTTTTGGTGAGTTTTAAAAACTAAGCCAATATGTAACTTCCCCTTAATTATTTAATAACCTGCAAAAATGAATCAGTACTAAGCAAGAAAACCCCACTCACCTTTTATTGTAACTGCAGTTATATTTCATTGTTGTTTGATATTTCATCTCAAAATATATGTATATAGGTCAAAAGAAATGGGCAGAAGGAAACTCACACAAATTATGTAGCAGTGTTAAACAAATTCATTTTCTGAGCCAAAACAAATTCACTTGTGCCTTCAGACTTTCCCTTTTAACTTTTCTTACAGCAATATAATTTTGCATTTTGGCCAAAGAGAATCGCTTTCTTTTGCCAGACCAAAAAATCATGCTTCTGAAGAAATACGAAATCTATAGAATTTGTCTCCTTTCAACAAAACACTAATAGTATTATATATATTTTTTACCTAAGTTAGAATCTTTCAAGATAGGAGGAATAAATTTTAAATATACAGTATTACCAAAACACAGTTACATTCAACTTTTTCAATTTGTTTGAAAATTATATAACAGTTTTCTAAACTGTTTTTGGCAAAGACTGAAGGAACTCTAACATATACAAAAGTTGTCAATTAAAAATTAAGCCATTGTGTAATTTTTTTAAAAAAAACTCAGCTTTACACTATGTTTCAGGACAAATATATTTTGACTCAAGAAAAAACACTGGGTGGCACACTGAAAAATGAGCCCATGTTTACAAAACCTAAAAAGGAGTATTCAGTCACTTCAGAATGACAAAACATCAATGCCTTTGCCTGTATCTCTAAAGAAAATGTTTCCACTCAAATTTTAACTGCCAAAATTGATAATTACTATTATAGTGTTACCAAAGTAAGTTTAAAACATAACTCAGAAAATGTACTATTTCTAATAATTTTATCTTTTATAAGGATACTATAATATAACCTTGTTAAGGATCTTATATCTCCTTGTAAGATGATCACAAACCATCTTTTAATTTCAATTAACAGTCCAAATTAAAAACTTCACATTCACAAGCAAGGAATACTAATGCCCATTACAATGATATTTTAGGAATGTGTGCTTTCTTCTGATAGATAGTACCTCTAAGAATATCTCATCTGAATTTATAGTGCTCATGTTCTTCTACTGAACAAGCACATTTATAATCTTATGGTCTCAAAATACTTCATGAACCCTGAAGTGATTCTCTATGGAAGGATTTTCATTTACAAAATGAATTTGGCTTGTCACTTGCATACCCAAATCTCCAAGTATCTGAACAAATTTTTTGTGCTCCTTTCCAATCCAAGACCTCATTGGATCACGTACTTGGTAAGGTGTAACATGAGTGTGAACAACAACCCCTGTTTGAGCAAACTCTTTCAAGACTTCTGGGTAAGTAACCCAAGTATTGCTTCCTCCAGAATGACCACCATCCAGCCAGTATATTGTTCTTATGCTTTTGATGAAAGTATCTATGTCTTTGTCTTTCTTGGCTTCTTTCAATTCAAAAAGCAGCTGATTCAAAACAACACAACCTTTACTAAATCCAACCAAAGTAAAAGATGCACCATTTAGCGATGGTGGATAAAAACTAGTGGCAGACTCATCAAAATTTTCACAGGTCCTCTCTTTTCCTTTCTGGCAACCATTAGAGGTATGAGAAGAGCTGGATCTACAATTCGATGCTTTGGAGTCCTTATTCAAATCGTTCATATTCTTTGGTAGGAAACTGTTTTGACTTAAGTTAAAAGCATTAACTACTAACATATAAAGGTGTTTAAAAGCTCCAAAGTTGTTACTGTGTTCAGGAGCACCAAACATATTGCTTTTCACAAAATTGTCATAGCAGCTGAATTTGTGCAAATGCATTCGGGAACACTTTATCACCCAGATGTAGCTATTGGGGAACCGGTGGGCCAAAATGGTGGCAACATTTTCTAGACTCCAGTCTGCCCACTGGTAATTCTCAGGATGTCGAGTCATAATTTCATGGTAATTCTGAAAGGTAAGAAACATAGAACTATTAAATACACATGTAAAATCATTTCTACAAAATAACTTAAGTCCCATTTTTATTGGGGAAGAGTCTGAAATACTACCTGTGGTTAAAGGTTAAATACTAGAGTAGCACTGTAGCACTGTCCTCCCATTGTTCATCGATTTGCTCGAACAGGCCCAGGAGTAAAAAATATAAATTATGATTTCAAGATTTTAAACAAATATCTCAAATACATTTGAAAAATGATTCAACATCCTTCCTGTAATTTTTATTTTTGCTTTTTTTGGGGGGGTCACAGTCACACCTGACAATGCACAGGGGTTATTCCTGGCTCTGCACTCAGGAATTACTCCTGGCAGTGCTCGGGGACTATATGGGATGCTGGTAATCGAACCAGAGTCAGCCGTATGCAAGGTAAACACCCTACCCTCTGTGCTATCGCTCCAGCCCCCTTTCGTAAATTTTTTGGGGGTGTGTGGTCCCAAGAGGTACTCAGAAGGCCTGGCCTAAGGCCCACTCCCAGTGACACTCAGCCAACCTGGTCAATGGTTCAATGCAAGGATCTGAGGATATAGCATTGCTGGGGTCCTGCGGTGCTTGGGAACTAGCAGGGACACATCCAGCAATATTTGAGGTCCTTTAAGACTACTCTTGGTTCACACCTGAGGACCAAACCATATCCCTAGCATTTGTACTATCTCCTCAGGCCTGAAAATCTAAAGATTTTCATTTTCAAAATGAATTTGGCTTGTCACTTGCATATCCAAATATCCAAGTACGTGAACAAATTTTTTGTGCTCCTTTCCAATCCAAGATCTCTGAAAGCACTCCCCAATTGTGCCTGAAGCTGCCACCCCACCCACCCACCAACTCCTGCCCCAATTAATCCAGTGCCCATCAGGGAAATCTAGTAGTACCATCTACTCTGGGAAACTGCTTTAAAAGGATTCAGATATGTTTTATAATTTTTATTTGATGTACATAGCACAGCAGCAGGACATTTGCATGCGGCCTACTCAGCCAACCGGGGTTCGATTCCTCCGCCCCTCTCAGAGAGCCCAGCAAGCTACCAAGAGTATCTTGCCCGCACGGCAAAGCCTGGCAAGCTACCCATGACATATTCTATATGCCAAACAGTAACAAGTCTCACAATGGAGCCATTACTGGGCTCGCTCGAGCAAATTGATGAACAATGGGAGGACAGTGCTTCAGTGCTATGGTACATATACTCTCATTACTAACACTTAAGTAAAAAGCCTGGATTTATGAGACTTTTGGACAAATATAATTTTTATATATATATAATTTATATACAAATATATAATTCCTATTAAAGCTGCTATCCCGCACCCCTCCCTCACTGGATTATTCTTTACAACCTGAACACAATGTCTAATTTTAATTTTTGTAGGGCTGGAGCGATACCACAGCGGGTAGGGTAGGGTGTTTGCTTTGCATACGGCCGACCAGGGTTCGATTCCTCGGTCCCTCTCTGAGAGCCTGGCAAGCTACCAAGAGTATCCCGCCTGCAAGGCAGAGCCTGGCAAGCTCCCCGTGGTATATTTGTTTGATATGCCAAAAAAAGTAACAAGTTTCAAAAAGGAGATGTTACTGGTGCCTGCTTACGCAAATCGATGAACAACAGGAGGACAGTGCTACAGTACTATCACAAATAAAGCTGTAATATGTATTATGGGGAAAACCCCTTTGTATAATTTGTGAGTGCATTCTTTTAAATAGATCTCCAGACAGGGAAAAAATAGGTCAAAGAAATTTGGTACACTTACTTCCCTTTCCTTCATGACTACTCTCATGATCAGAATTTGCACACACACTTGCTGGGAGTGCTCGCACATCTAGTTGTACACATTGATGATAGTGCTTGTGCACAGGCTTCCCAGGGACTGCACTCCATAGTTGTACTCACACACACCTACCTGGCTGCAATGCAGCAGAGAATGCCCACTTTACTGTGGCACTGGGTGTCTCCCAGCATCAAAGGACCATACTTAGCACAGTAAATGGCACAGAGATGGAAGTTTCAACCTCGTGAGCTTACAAAAAGCAGGGACTTTGTGCCAATGAGAAAATTCTTATTTTAAGGTTGGTTGTACAGATTTTAATACTTTCCGCCAGAGGCCTAATTTTTTTTTCATTAATTTCATAGGCACTGGAAAACATCCTACATGGATTTAAAAACTGAATGACTCAATGCTGAGTTTAATAGATCCAAGATGTTACCATTTCAACATGTAACCAATGTGAAAAACTGTTGAGATTATGTCTTTTCCTTACCAAGTTTTGAAACCCAGTGTATTTATGGAACATCTCCATTTGGATGTTAAATTTTCATTGGAAGTACATAATCTGAATTTCTCATAAAATCTACAGTTAAGAAGATTCACATAGCTGCAACGTTCATATATTTTAAATTTTTTAAGAACTGAATTCAGTTTTGAGATTTAGATCTAAATATAATTAAAATTTTGGATTCTCAATGAACAACATTTCTGGTGGTGAGGCTCATGAATGGATGAAATTAACAAAAAATAAATGGACTGTATAAAACTGTTAAGTGCAGTGGGACATAATCAGGTGGGACATAAGTAAGTCTTAGCAAGGATGGGAAGATTTAAAAAAGAGGGTAGACTCTAGTAAGACTAGTTGAGCAGGATGTAAAGGAACTGAGGAAGTCAGCCAAGTGGGTATTTTCTGGCATGAGGAATGGTAACTACAAAAAATGCTGAACTGAAAGGATGGTTAGCATAACTAAAATAGGGAAACAGTACAGGGCAGTGTCTTTCCACTGGAAGTGAAGCAAGGAGCAAAAAGATTGCTAGGATGCCAGAGATTTCTGGTTGACACTGATCACGCCTGGAAAGACACCAGTGGACTCTAGCCTTTGCTATGAGTTTGAAGCAGAGGATGAATCACCTGTGGTGAAGGATTACTCTGGCTTCTATATGTGAAGGGGCAACACCTGAAGGAGAAAAACCAGTGGGAGGATACTGAAGCATGAAGCCAATGAGAAAAGATAGCTCAAACCGGTGATAGAGTGAAGATGGTTAGAAGTCAGTCCGAATAATTTTTTATAGATTTGCTGAAGGATTGAACAGAGGGTGTGAAAGAATAGTTGTGATTTTTCTTTCTAACAGTTATAATAAAAAATAAATGCCCTCCCGTTGATCATCGATTTGCTCGAGCGGGCCCAGTAACGTCTCCATTGGAGACTTTGTTGTTACTGTGTCTGGCATATCGAATACTCTCGGTAGCTTGCCGGGCTCTCCGAGAGGGGTGGAGGAATCGAACTCGGGTCGGCCATGTTGGCTGCGTGCAAGGCAAACGCCCTACCCGCTGTGCTAAAGAGTATATATACAATATAGTTTAAAAGGTACTTCTCTTTTGGCCTCATAATTCCACATCTAGGGATTTATTTCACTTATATACTATTTGGGCAAAAACAGTAACAATCTCTCAATGGAGATGTTACTGGTGCCTGCTCAAGCAAATCGATGAACAATGGGATGACAGTGCTACAGATGCTACTATCTGGGCTGGAGCGATAGCACAGTGGGTAGGGCGTTTGGCTTGCATGCGGCCAACCCAGGTTCGATTTCTCTGTCTCTCTTGGAGAGCCGGACAAGCTACCAAGTGTATTCCGACCACAGGACAGAGCTTGGCAATCTCCCTGTGACGTATTCGATATGCCAAAAAGAGTTAACAAGAAGTCTCACAATGGAGACATTACTGGTGCCTGCTCAGGCAAATCAATGAACAACGGGAGGAAAGTGCTACAGTGCAGTGCTACACATACTATTTATAAACATGCACAATTAAATATGTAAAAGGATATTTCCTTATGGTTCCTACGAATGAAATCACTCTTCACTCATTTATTGCAAAATAAGTGCTAAAAGACCCCTGGTATACTCAGCTACACTTGTGTTTAAAAAGAAAAGTTTACATGAATCTACAATGTCTCTGAAAAGACTCTTTAGGACTGCAATAGGTCTTTGCAATCCTATTACCTATGACCAATCTCTAGCAAAGGTAAAAACCGTGGGTAAAGATCTTGTTTTCTTTCTGTTTTCATGCTAGCTGGGAGTACAATACACTTGCTCTTTTGGTATGGATTAAGGGACAACAACTCAACCCTCGTGAGACAAAAGACAAGAGATTATTTTACAGAGATTAATGCAGAGGCTTACAGACAGACTTGCATATATTTACTGAGCCTGCCCCAAACTGCTACTGAAGCAAAGGTACAAAGGATTTTAAAGGAAACTTGACATTTGTCCCCAACAGTTTGGAGACATTCATGACGAAGATTTAAGATGAACTGTACTTAAAGCACATTGAGAACTGTACTGGTTACAAGCCATACTTTGATTAAATGGGGCAGAGTCCTTTACTGATCATAAAGTCAATATTCCAAGAAAGCAAGCTAAAGAGCCAGACTAAGAAGACAGCTTGACAGATCAAGGAACACCTAGAATATATGGTCAGGTGTGAAATAAAAAGCCCCAAGTTTCTAGCATAATAGTCTAAATTCTCAGGAATTTACTAAATGACTGGAATGTCTTTTGTTCTAATGAGGTGACTCTTGGCAGGCTCCCAGATGGGTGCTAGTCACCAGAAAGACCAGGACATAATTAGAGTTTTCAACTCTTCCTCCCATTCTCCAGAGAGAGGCTGGAAATGGAGTGATGCTTAATAAGGATGCTTATGTGACAAAGCTACCTTTTTCATCAGGCTATCAGCCACCTCCATATGCCAGTCACTAAGCAACAGAGATCTATCATAGAATAGGTATAAAAAAAAAACCCAATAATAAAAAAGTGATCAATCAAAATAATAAATGGAATAGGCGGGGATCCTGTACAGACATGAATGATGTTCAGAAAAAGCCTTACTGTGAAGGCAACTTTTGAAGCAGGTAAAGAGTAAAACAGGAGAAAAAGGAGACGAAAGAAGGGAGAGAAGAGATTCAACGGCCTTGCAAACCAGTGAGTAGACTCTGGCTTTTACTCTGACATAAGGTATAGATACAGAGTTTTGAAGCAAAGCGTGGTATGACTTATATTTTAAAATAATGATTCTGGGGGCTGGAGCAATAGCACAGCGGGTAGGGTGTTTGCCTTCCAAGCCGCTGACCCGGGTTCGATTGCCAGCCTCCCATATGGTCCCCTGAGTACCGCCAGAGGTAATTCCTGAGCGCTGAGCCAGGAAAAATCCCTGTGCATTGCCAGGTGTGACCCAAAAAGAAAGAAAAAAATTCTGAATCCTTCTAATGAGGTACATTTAGAAAATGTATCCACCTTATTTGTTACTGGATTAAGACCGGTCATATGGAAGCAAAAACTAAAGGATAATTTCAACTTCTAACTTGAATTAAAAGGAATAGTAGATGAGGAAGACTGCAGAAAGAACAAATTTAGGGCAAGATCCAAAGATTTTAGGTCTGAGATATCTACTAAATATCCAAAAGAACTATCACACATGCAGTTTTCCCAAGAATTGTTCCCAAGTTCCAGGAGTGTGCTAGGGTAGAATCACAGATGTTGAGTCAGGTTGCGAACTTTAGAAGTATGTAAAATCACAAATTAAAAAGATTATTAAGGAGCTAGAGTGATAGCATAGTGGGTAGGGCATTTGCCTTGCACGTGGCCGACCTGAGTTCGAGTCCCAGCATCCCATATAGTCCCCTGAGTACTGCCAAGAGTAATTCCTGAGTGCAGAGCCAGGAGTAACCCCTGAAGATCACTGGGTGTGACCAAATAAGCAAAAAAAAAAAAAAAAATTAAAAGACAAGAAAAACCTAAGATTTGTTTGGGAGTATATCTCGTAAAAAAAAAAAGAAATGTAATAATTTAGTTGATAATCACATAGACAATCCTCACTAACAGCTTATCAATTATTACTCCTAGGTTACAATTGAGCTAGCGACCTATCATACAGATTTAACAACATCCCCCAAAATGCAGAATCAGGGTACAAACTTGAGCATGTAGCCTCTAGTCTTTTGATGCATCATCATACACTATTTTTTCTCTTAAAGATTTTTATTTTTAGAAGCATTTCATACTCTGCAAAAAATCAACAGTAATTTTCTGTTCAAAAAGCTAATGGAATTTCAGTCTTTATAAAGAAATAGGTGGTATCAAAATGAAAGGAGATACTACTGTATTTGCACTTTAGATTTCATCTAAAGAGCTGTGCTGTATTTTGGCCAGCATGCTTTAAAAATACTTAGTAGGGGGGCTAGAGCGACAGTACAGCTGGTAAGGTGTTGCCTTGTACGAGGCCAACCCAGGTTCGATTCCCAGCATCCCCAATGATCCCCTGAGCACTGCTAGGAGTAATTACTGAGTGCAGAGCGAAGAGTAACAACATCGCTGTTGTGACCCAAAAAGCTAAAAAAAAGAAAGCCACTTAGTAAGGTACTCAATAAAAGTTGGATCATTATGATCATCATCATCATCATCATCTTGGTCCTTCAGTAGCTAGTCCACAAGTCTCTGAAAGTAACTATCAGTAATGCCCTGGGAGAAAAAAAAGTATCAAATGATTAATTTAGGGTTCTTCTCTTAAATCTAAAATCTAACCTTTTCACAGTATTTTCATCAGTCAGCTAGACATTTTGAGGGGATGAGAAAAAAATCACAAAATTTTCACTTTGTAATTCAGAATTTGTAAGTATATTTTAAAAAATAATTCAAAAGCAATAAATTACTGTTTCATCGTATAAAAAACACATAGAACCACTGTCTTTATCTGTCTACACCACCATGATCCAACAGAATTTTGTGATGATGGCAACATCCTGTAAAAAATTGGTTTGTACCTTGTACTGACCATTATAGCACCCACAACTCTACTGAGCACTTGAAAGGCCGCCAGGATGCCTGAGGAACAGGATTTTCACTTCTATAAAATCCAAATTAATTTGCATAGCTAACAGCTACTATATTAGACAACAGTTTGAGTTTGAGACCTAGTATCTGCAGAACAACATATTCATGGGTATTTGCCTGCAGCTAATAAAAGGAATAAAGAAAACATCACAACAAAAATATAGAATTTAGGTGAGCAATAAAATAAAAAACATGCTTAGCTTTCCTCTCCTCTCCAACCCAATCTGCGCTTTTTCGGGTTACGGAGAGCGTTTAACACTTGTAGTTTTTGTTGGGCTTGGTTTGCTTTGCTCATTCCAGCGTTTTCTGAATTTAATTCAAAAGACAACATCACACACGCACAGTCTCATTTCTTCAATGTCTACACACACACACACACACACACACACACACACACACACACACACACAGTGTCTCATTCCTATTACGTCTCAAATTCCGCTCCCTCGAAGCCGGGACCGATTTCCTGCTCCTCCGAGGTCGTGGCTCTCCAAGGACACCTTGCCTCTTGGGGCTCCACGAGGAGGGGGGTCAAGGGGCGTGCACCGGGCGGCTCTGGATTTCGTGAGGCTAAAGGAAGAGCCGCCCCCGAAGGCGCCTGTGGGGGTGTGTTCAGGCCAGGCACCGGCACCGAAGGGAACGCGCTAAGGAAGGCACCGACGCCAGGAGGAGGAACAGGTGCCTAGGGAGGCCCCGGGGTTACCTGCACATCCCCGGGGAAATAGAGAACGTGATGCTGGGGCGGCGGTTGCTGCTGTTCCTCCGCCGGGTCCCCCGGGGCGCCCCGCCGCGCCGGTCCCTCCCCCTCCGCCGGCAGCAGGAGTAACTCATTGCTGCGCTGCGGGTCGGCTCCCGCCACCGCCGACAGTCTCACGCACTGCGGCGGGTGCCCCTCGGCCGAGGGGGAGCCCCGCGCACCGCTGCCGCCGCCCAGGTTCATGGTTCCGGCCTGAGTCGAGCAGGAGACGGCGATCCCGAGTCTGAGCTGCGGCAGCAGAAGGAGCAGTGGTGGCGGCGGCGACCGCAGGAACCCAAACCCCCACATGGGTCGCGGACCAGCCGGCAGATCGGAGCGGGGAGGGGGAGGTCCGAAGGGTTGGACTGCTGCGGCCCCAGCCGCCCAACCCCCGGCTGGCGCGGCCGGGGCGGGAGTCAGCCCCTGGGCGATAACGGCGTCAGGGCCCGACGTGCGCACGCAGCGTGCGTGGAGGGGGGGGGTGCGCGAAATCCGAGCCGGGCACCCAGAGGCCGCGGGGGGGGCGTGGCCCGGAGAAGGACGTTTGTGATTGGCTGCCGTCTGCCCCGGCCGGGAAATTCGAACGGAACTGTGGGAAGGAGCCGGAGCCGGAGCCGGAATGATGGAGGAAGTCAGGTAACAAATGTCCCAGTTTTGTTTTGTTTTGTTTTGTTTTTTTGAGTACGTCGTGCCCGCGTTTCAGAAGGCTTAACCTGTTGGGTAAGGTTTTTCTGGTTCTTACGGCTCACATGGAACACATTCCCAAGAATTTAAGTAATTTCTTTCCTGTAGCGGAATCTCCGGAAAGCTTATCCCGGATGAAAGGACCCTCTCCGCCCTCGTTTTCTTTTAATTTTCTGGGGTTTGAGTCACACCCGGCGCTACGCTACGGTTAATCCAGGCTTTGCACTTAGAGATCACTTCTTGCGGGCCTCGGGGAACTTGATTTGGTTCTGCGGAGCGAACCCGGATCGGTCACTTGCGCGGCAAGCACCCTACCCGCCGAACTATGTAGTTGCCCCCCGGACTCCTTTATACATGTATACTTTCCCTTTGTAGAAGTACAAAGATCTTGAGACTCGCACACAATGTGTCGTTTAACATTGTTAAACAGTTCATTCCTGTTAATTTTTGAACTCTAGGCCTTATTAGACATTTCCTGCCTCAGATAGCAAATAGAGTTCTCAGGAAACTTTCAAAACACAGTTGTTGTTGTTGTTGTTGAAGCTTTCAAAACACAGTTGTTGTTGTTGTTTTAATAGAAAGTGGGTAAGAGGCGAGGGAACTATTTCAGTTGTATATGCAATTTTTCCTCTCTGGAAAAAATGGGGCAGGATCTAGCTGCAGAGTTTCCTGAGGCATGGAAAGGTTGGAACGGAACATTAACTTATTATGCTTATGTTGTCGGTAGTGTTTGCAACCCAACGAATTTGCCCTGTACGGCCAGTTTGGGTGCTAGGAAATTTTTGTATCCTGAAGTTATGTGTGACTAGTAGCAAAGCAAATAAGATGTAGCTAGTGTATAGGAGACAAAGGGAAGGGGGTTAAGTGTAGCATTCAAACGCGTGTGAGACACCCACAAAAGAACCTTGTGGGAGAAAATACTAGAATTATTAGAATTACTGCAGGCTGTATTTTTCTGTTTGGGGGCCACACATCCAAAGTGCTCATGGCTTACTCCTGGTTCTGCCCTCAAGCCGGGAATCGAACCCCAGCTGGTCCTCATGGGATGCTGCCGGGCAAGTGTTGTTATCTGCTGTATTATCACCATGAGGGGTGTTCCTTGGACCACACCATGATGCTCAGGGCTTAATCCTGGTTCTGTACGCAGGAATTACTCCCATTTGGGGTGGGGAGAAGTAGGAGATTGGGGATGCAGGGTGCCAGGAATCGAACTCAGACTACCTGAGTTCAAGGTAAGCATTCTACAAGTTGTACCATTTCTCCAACCCGACTGCCAGCTTTTATTGAGGTTTTCATATAAGCCCGGAATCAAATTGAATACTTCAGATACTTTCTTAGTCTGTATGAATTTTTAAGTACATAGGCTGATTTATTTGCTTCATTTATCAAGTTTTGACAACTTTGAATCATGAACACCTATGGTAAAAATATCTATATATTGTAACTCTAAAAGTTTAGTATGTTAGTTTACTGTGATCAATGGTTTCATCTGACATCATAATACTATAATTAATCACGTTTGTTATTGAGTTGATCTAAAAACAAGATTTAGGAAGAAGCAGATGCTAATTATATAATACTGAATAAATAGACATTTAATTATCTTCATCCTATTTTGCAAATTACATACCTGTTAACTTTCTTTGGTTAGGTAGAGGATTACTGAAATGCGGTAAAAAAAAAAATCAAATATCCACATGTGTTCCAAATTCATTTTTTAAGTTTTATGTTCTAGTTTGGCCTCAATTAAATTTTTCACTGTAAAAGAGATTGTGGAGTTTTTGTGTTGTAGAGTTTTCTTTCAAAGATGATCGAGGTTTTTTAAAAATATAAAACTTAAAAGACAAACTAAAATAAACACATAACCTCTTTCCCCCAGCAGTTACACAAAATCAGAAGCTATATCCAGTGCAAGAACTGCCTCTTAATTCATCAAGTGAAGTATCTGTGGTAAGTCTTTGACAATGCAGCTTCTCATAGGTCCCATTGTTCTTCGTATAATACCTATTTTCTGTCAACAGAAAGGCCAGTTTGATAAAATAATACCATATGATGTTCTTTGATTCCTGTGAATGTTTTAGTTATTTTCCATTTTTCTTGGGTTTAGGTAAGGTTTGATTGTTTTCTGCACTTTAGTAAGCCACTATATCAAAACTGGACATAGAAAGGATTGGGCACTCACTATGCTAGAAGTACCTACTTCTAGGATATCATTTTTCTCCATCAATGCCTCGCATAACATTAGATATTGAAAGCATTTGGAGACTTGAAAACTTACCTTGGAAACCGATTTTAGCTCACTAGCTAAGTTATACTCTTTGTGGTGTCCTTGTGTCATGTGGTTTAAATATGCATTTCAGCAAAATACATATCACTATCAAGACTTTAAATTATCATTAATACTCAATGACTCTTCAAATACAATGAATTAACTGGTTATTGTGGTGAGTGGACTCGCAAGACATTGCCTATAAAATATTTACAGGGTTAAGAAAGGCATTTTACAAGAACAGGATGGTTGACCAACAGTATGTGACATTCTTGATGTCAGCCTGTGATTTAACAAGTAGCCTTCTGAAGAGCCCCTGATAGTCTGTTATATCCCCCATCTGTCCCAGGACTACCCTTATCTGCCCTTGTCCCAAAGCTTTGAGAAACAAAGCTTAAGTTCAACGTATATAAGTGCTGTTGAACTTACCATAAAGCAACTTCAGCTCACTATACTCTAATCCTGCTGTCTGTCTCTTTCTTTCACTCTTGAACCCTCTCCCTGTTATCCACGTTGACTAGTCCCGCAGGATGGGACAGCATGCCTCACCCTATCCCTGCGGCCGCTACTATATTTACTGATGGATCTTCCAGGGGAAGAACCGAGCTTGTGATTAAATACCAGACTTATTCCTTCCCTACCTCATATAAATCAGCTTAACTTGTGGCGCTAAGATCATTGTGGGTGATTTTAATGCCAAGATAGGACCGAGAAGATCAGCCGAACAACTCCACATCGGGACCCATGGCCTAGAATGGAACGAACAGGGTGAGAGACTGTCTGAGTTCATCATGTAGATCAAGACCATCCATGGCAACTCACAGTTCCAGAAGGCCAAATCTAAACGTTGGACATGGGAGTCTCCTGGTGGACGGTTTCCACAACAAAATAGACCACATCATATTCAATCAACGGTTTTGCCCAACCAATGTCGCTGTTGTCCCAAAATTCCAAACGAGATCGGACCACCGTGTCCTTCGTGCAGAATTCTACTTCATAGAGCAGGGAGAAAGGGCTGCAAAGTTTAAGAAGAGAATTCCCCAAACGACCACCAACTGAGAGCTCTTTGGCACTATTGCTGGAACATGGGAAGATGCCATTGTTGACTACATTGACAAAGAATATGATTGACTGATTTAGCATCTCCATGATTGTGCGAGGAACGCCAAGAGAGAGATAGCCACAAAAAAAGTCTGCCTTCAAAAACTCTTCAGCTTATTCGCCAACGTGCTTTGGCACATGCCTCAGGCAACCGCAAGCAAACGTCTGAGCTCGCAAAGCAGTGTAGAGATGCGATCAAGGAAGATCCCAAAGAGAGAAGAGCAGAAGTGCTGGTAGATGCAGCAGAAACCAGGAAAAGCATTCATAACGCCCACCTGTCTTTCGCCAACTACAAGACCAAGATGACTACCCTCCAGCGTCCTGATGGATCTATCACATCTTCCAGAAGGGCAGTGGAGATTATCCATGACCTCTACTCAAATCTTTTCAATAGCCATGTCCACCTGCTCACACCAAATTCCACAGGATGGATATGTCATTCCCAATGTTCTCCCTTCCGAAATCCAACACGCCATTTCGTCAGTAAACGAACAGCACCTGGCCGAGACAAGGTCAGGCCTGAACACCTGAAGAACCTGCCGTCAGTACTCATCAATACGCTGACTCGGCTCTTCACACGCTACCTGTCTGAATACAAGGTTCCGTCCCAGTGGAAAACCAGCAGGACCGTACTACTGTTCAAGAAGGGAGACATCTATGACATTGGCAACTATTGCCCGATATGCCTATTGTCTGTCATCTACAAGTTGTTCACTCAAGTCATCCTAAATAGGATTGGCAGAACACTAGATGAAGTTCAACCATGCGAGCAAGCCGGGTTCCGCAAAGGATTCAGCACCATCGACCATATCCACACGATAACCAAGCTCATTGAGGTTTCCCGGGAGTTCAAGATGCTGCTCTGTCTAACGTTCATTGATTTAAAGAAGGCCTTTGATTCTGTTGAGACGGAAGCGGTCATTGAAGCCCAAGCCAATCAGGGCATTCAAGCCCAATACATCAATATCCTCCGTGAGCTGTATTGCGGATTCACTACCAGGATCTCACCATTCTACAAAGAGGTGATCATTGATGTCAAGAGGGAGGTTCGGCAGGGTGATACCATTTCACCAAAACTCTTCAGTGCCACCCTCAAGAACATCATGCAACGACTGGAATGGGAAGGAATGGGAGTGAAGATAAATGGTCGGCAACTACACCACCTCCGCTTTGCTGATGACATTGTTTTAATAACACCAAACATCAACCAAGCGGCACAAATGCTGGCCGACTTTGATTGTGAGTGTGGAAAGGTCGGACTACAGCTGAATCTTACGAAGACAATGTTTATGAGAAACAGCCTCGTTCCTGACGCCCCATTCGCTCTCAATGGAACAACCATCTCCGAATGCAACAGCTATGTGTACCTAGGTCGAGAAGTCAACATGACAAATGACCTGGCACCCAAGCTGCA